AACACACCCTCCACCAACACACCCCACCACCAACACACCTCCACCAACACACCCCACCACCAACACACCCCTCCACCAACACACCCCACCACCAACACACCTCCACCAACACACCCCACCACCAACACACCCTCCACCAACACACCCTCCACCAACACACACCCCACCACCAACACACCTCCACCCAACACACACCCCACCACCAACACCCCACCACCAACACACCCTCCACCAACACACCCCACCACCAACACACCCCACCACCAACACACCCCACCACCAACACACCCCACCACCAACACACCCCACCACCAACACACCCTCCACCAACACACACCCCACCACCAACACACACCCCACCCACCAACACACCCCACCACCAACACACCCCTCCACCAACACACCCTCCACCAACACACACCCCACCACCAACACACCCCTCCACCACACACCTCCACCAACACACCCCTCCACCAACACACCCTCCACCAACACACCCCCACCACCAACACACCCTCCACCAACACACCCTCCACCAACACACCCTCCACCAACACACCCCACCACCAACACACCCCTCCACCAACACACACCCCACCACCAACACACCCTCCACCAACAACACACCCTCCACCAACACACACCCCACCACCAACACACCCTCCACCAACACACCCTCCACCAACACACCTCCACCAACACACCTCCACCAACACACCCCACCACCAACACACCCCACCACCAACACACCCTCCACCAACACACCCTCCACCACACCCTCCACCAACACACACCCTCCACCAACACACCCTCCACCAACACACCTCCACCAACACACACCCCACCAACACACCCCCACCACCAACACACCCCTCCACCAACACACCCTCCACCAACACACACCCCACCACCAACACACCCCTCCACCCAACACACCCCTCCACCAACACACCCTCCACCAACACACCCTCCACCAACACACCCCACCACCAACACACCCCTCCACCACACACCCCTCCACCAACACACCCCTCCCACCAACACACCCCACCACCAACACACCCTTCCACCAACACACCTTCACCAACACACCCTTCCACCAACACACACCCTCCACCAACACACCCCACCACCAACACACCTCCACCAACACACCCCACCACCAACACACCCCTCCACCAACACACCCCACCACCAACACACCCTCCACCAACACACACCCCTCCACCAACACACCCCTCCACCAACACACCCCTCCACCAACACACCCTCCACCAACACACCCTCCACCAACACACCCCACCACCAACACACCTCCACCAACACACCCCTCCACCAACACACCCTCCACCAACACACCCCTCCACCAACACACCTCCACCAAAACACCCCACCACCAACACACCCTCCACCAACACACCCTCCACCAACACACCCCACCACCAACACACCCCTCCACCAACACACCCTCCACCAACACACCCCACCACCAACACACCCCTCCACCAACACACACCCCACCACCAACACACCCTCCACCAACACACCCCACCACCAACACACCCTTCCCACCAACACACCCTTCCACCAACACACCCCTCCACCAACACACCCCTCCACCAACACACCCTCCACAACACACCCCCTCCACCAACACACCCCACCACCAACACACCCTCCACCAAAACACCCCACCACCAACACACCCTCCACCAACATACCTCCCACCAACACACACCCTCTTCCACCAACACACCCTCCACCAACACACCCTCCACCAACACACCTCCCACCACCAACACACCCCACCACCAACACACCCTCCACCAACACACACCCCACCCTTCACCAACACACCCCTCCACCAACACACCCCTCCACCAACACACCCTCCACCAACACACCCCACCACCAACACACACACCCTCCACCAACACACACCCCACCACCAACACACACACCCTCCACCAACACACCCCTCCACCAACACCCTCCACCAACACACCCCTCCACCAACACACCCTCCACCAACACACACCCCACCACCAACACACCCCACCACCAACACACCCTCCACCAACACACCCTCCACTAACACACCCTCCACCAACACACCCCTCCACCAACACACCCCACCACCAACACACCTCCACCAACACACCTCCACCAACACACCCCACCACCAACACACCCTCCACCAACACAATTGTCCTTCACTTATGGTCTTTCAGCTGTAGTTTGTTGCTATTCATTCCTCTCTCTCTCTCTCTCTCTCTCTCTCTCTCTCATCATTTCCTGTTTATTTCATTTTCAATATTAGTTCACTTTAACGAGGCCACGTGCTGGTGTCCGGTAGGGGAAGGGGTGGGGGTCGGAGTGGTCAGCTAGTTGGTGAGGAGGAGGAGGAGGAGGGATCGAATGGTTGACATGGAAGGAGGGAGGGAGTCTCACGTACAACAATACATATATATAAAATTACCATAATTTACACAGAGGAAACGTAACACACACACACACACACACACACACACACACACACACACACACACACACACACACACACACCACACACACACACACACGACATATGCCCTTCTTGTACTGATAGTTTAGTGGACGAGTGGTATGGTAGGTGATTGTAGTAAATGAATGTAGTGATTGTGGTAGTAGGGTTCTGAGAGATTGTGGTGGATGGATAGTTATAGGTTGTGGTTGTGAGAAGAAAATAACACCAACATCAACCACCACTACCACCATCTCTACCTACCTACCAGCATCCGCCAGACCACCACCAAGCATATTAACGACTAACACTACTACCAGCACACACACACACACACACACACACACACACACCAGCAAACCGTACCATTATCACTCCTACCACCACCACCCACTCTGATCATAAGGGTGTGAGAGGGGGATGAGAGGGGTGAGAGGGGGGGTGAGGGGGGTGAGAGGGGATGAGAGAGGGATGAGAGAGGGAGAGAGAGGATGAGGAGGGATGTTAGTAGCACGAGCCAGCTAAGACTCCCCATTGTTAAATACACGTGTACCACTATTTCATTGTTACTACCACAACTACCACCATCACTACCAGGGAAACACCACCCCTCCCACTTCCGACTACCATACCCCTCCCATCCCTCTTCCACCTAAACATCTCCGGAACCTGATTTTTGGGTGGGTGGAGGGGAGGGTGGTGGGAGGTGGTTGGGGTCATAGGAGGTAGGGTCAGAGTATAGGAGGTCAACTCTAGGGGTTATGACGGAGGCGGTGACGAAGGGAGGCGTGACGGAACACAGGTGACGGGAGGAAGTAACAGTTTGACCTGACATTACACACACACACACACACACACACACACACACACACACACACACACACACATAGAGACCCACATGCACGCTCTCTCTCTCTCTCTCTCTCTCTCTCTCTCTCTCTCTCAGGTAGGTGGCGGCACAGGGGACGGAGTTATCGTTAATATTACACAGATACTGGAGATAAGGAGAAGGGAGAGGCCTTATCTCAGCTGGTGGTATATCCTGCCTCCCACCCTGCCCTCCACACACACACCTCAATATTAGTCCTGCTCCCAAGTATATTTCACCTGATGATTAAAAACACCCAAAAGCTACCTGAAGTGGTTAGGTTAGGTTAGGTTAGGTTAGAAATCGAATGACAGAAAACGACCTAAAATGGACGTCACACAAGAATAACGGACGATGGACGATATTTAACTCAACGGACGAACAAAAACACGGACGATACAACACGGACGGGGGGGACGGAAGCGTGTATCTGATGACATACACTCGCCCCACAATATAACACAACAAAGACACTTAATGCAACGACACTTCCGCCACTAATGTTGGAGCCACTGAGGGAGGGAGGGAAGGAGGGAGGGAGGGAGGGAGGAGGGAGGGAGGGAGGGAGGGAGGAGAGGGAGGGAGGGGGAGGGAGAGAGGGAGGGAGGGAGGGAGGAAGAGGAGGAAAGAGGGAGGAGGGAGGGAGGGAGGGAGGGAGGAGGAAAGGAGGGAGGAGGGAGGGATGGAAGGAGGAGGAGGGAGGGAGGGAGGGAGGGAGGGAGGGAGGGAGGGAGGAGGAAAGAGGGAGGAGGGAGGAGGGAGGGAGGAGGAAGGAGGAGGAGGAGAGGGGAGGGAGAGGGGAGGAGGGAGGAGGAAAGGAGGGAGGGAGGGAGGGAGGAGGAGGAAAGGAGGGAGGAGGGAGGAAAGAGGAGGGAGGGAGGGAGGGAGGAGGAGAAAACGCCCTTAAAATGTACTCCCTAAGACAGACAGACAGACAGACACACAGGTGAAAAGATGTGTGGAGGTAAGAGTTCGCAACGAGAGAGGTAAGGGAGGCAACAAGTGTGTCCGTGTGGGGGTAAACACCTGGCACAGATGTTATATACACTTGTGTGTTTCTCTCTCACTCCTCAACTCTCTCTCTTTACTGCTCTCCTTCCCTCTTTTCTCTTGCTACCTTAATCTCTTTCTCCATTCTCTCTCTCATCCTCTTACCTCTCTCTCTCACTCTCCCTCTAACCTCCTCCTCTCTCCCTTCCACCTCCCTCCCTCTCATTAAGCCCACAGGTGATGGGTTATAGTTGCCTAATATAGTTTTATTTTACAATTTATTGATTCGTCTCGTTAAGCCTCACGTTCATACACAAGTTCGTACATACATACATACATACATAGACATAGGTTGAGTCATAGTGTTCTCCTGACGCCATTTTGATTTGAGTGAGTTAATTAGGTTCCCCCAGGTAATAAGACAAATTAAATATACCTGTAAATCCACCTTCGTGTCGTAGTTAAGAGTGAAGTTATTAACCTACGTAGTTATACCTGAGTTTTTCTGGAATGAGATTATTTTAAAACTACGACCCGAATAAATATTGTGTCTCGTAGTTATGTAGTCGTGTCTCCAGTTAGGGTATAGAGGTAATGATTAATTAAGAATCTACCTGAGGATCTAATAATGGTCCTTACCTCGTGCGTTGTGGTGGTCTTGGGGGAGAGGCTAGTGATATCTCGTCCTTCTGTGGGTGAGATGTTATTATTATTATTATTATTATTATTATTATTATTATTATTATTATTATCATTATCATCACTATTATTGTCATTGTTGTGATATTATTATTATTGTCACCACTAGAGTATCATTCACCTGTGGTATTTTGTTAATTAATCCAAAAATGACTTGGATGTCGGCCTCACCTGTGTGTCGTAGGGCGTGTAGCTGGTGCCGGTGCTGGTCCTGTAGGGCGGCCACCTCGTACTGGTGTGAGTCCTTCAGTGCCCTTAACTCTCCCTCTAGCTCCTCCACACGCCGAGACAACTGTAAACAAACAAACAAAAATTTATTAACTACCATAATTTCACCCCATTACCCATTAACTACCATAAATCCCATTACCCATTAACTACCATAAATTCCCCATTACCCATTAACACCTCATCACTATCACCCATACATCATTGATCAACGCCCCCCATTACTACCAAAGAGTTATTCCATTACCCATTAAAAATATAACAAAACTTATATTCCATAATTTCCATTAACACCATAGATTCACCCCATTAACATCACCCATACACCATTGAAAAGCTTCCCCCATTAAGTTAAGCTGTTATACGACACAACAGACACCATTACACCTGTCAACACGCCATTACAACCATGAATAAACAGACGGAAGGACCAGTGTGGAGAAAAGCGCTTCCTCCCTTAACCCGGATACACCTGTTCCATCCTCTCCTCCCCTTCCACACTCCTGTTCCATCCTCTCCTCCCCTTCCACACTCCTGTTCCATCCTCTCCTCCCCTTCCACACTCCTGTTCCATCCTCTCCTCCCCTTCCACACTCCTGTTTCATCCTCTCCTCCCCTCCCCATTCCCTTCCATTTCTGTTCCATCACTAAGTATGTGTGGTGGTGGTGAGTCAGTAGGTGCGGTAGGTGTGGTGGTGGTGAGTCAGTAGGTGCGGTAGGTGGTGGTGAGTCAGTAGGTGTGTAGGTGTGGGTGGTGGTGAGTCAGTAGGTATGGTGCGGTAGGTGTGTGGTGGTGGTGAGCTGCAGGTGTGGTAGGTGTGGTGGTGGTGCGTCAACAGGCAGGTATTGTAGTATCTGTGACTCTCTTGCTGGGTATGGGATGGTGGTAGTGGTGGTGGTAGTGGTGGTGATGGTGGTAGTGGTGACATTATTATTACTGTATTAGTAGCCATAGTGGTGATAATAGTAGTAGTGATGGTGGTAGTGGTGGTGATGGTGGTAGTAGTAGTAATGTTTGTTAGCCATGAGTAGTGATGAGTAGTGATCCACCATCAACCACTACTGCAACAAGTGTCTGGGCTGAGCACGTGCCCCCCTGCAAGTGTCAAGATTAAAACATATGACTAGCTGGACTTCTCCCTCCCTGTGTAGCAACCCTCACCCCCAGCAGGTGTGTGTGCGTGTGTGAGAGTCCAGGCAGGTGTCACAAGTGTTACGTGGCGGAGGGGAGGAGGGGGGGGGTGATGATGGGGGTAGGAAGGGGCGTGGAGGGATGATGGGGTGGAGAAAGGGAGGGTGGGTCCCATAAGCCTACTCCGCCTGGATAATGGCATTGAGAACAGTCCACTAAACTCCCCAGTTCTCCTCCCCATCCAAACACACACCCCTGCTGTCCCCTCCCCATCCAAACACACACCCCAAGGTCCTCTCCCCTGAGCTCAGTCCCCCCCCATTCTCTCCCCCAAAATGAGGTGGGGGAGGAGGCGGGGGGGCGGGAGGTTACATACTGGTGGTAATTATATGAATACATAATACTGTATCGATCCCCGCACCTGTAAGCATAATGAATTAAGTTGTAGGTATGATGAGGCCTTTATATCAGGGGGAGGGGAGGCAGGGGGAGGTGGTAGTAACAGTCTAGTTGATCAGCCACCAAAATCAATACATGGTAATCTCTAGTAATTTTAATCTGTAGGGGGGAGGGTGAATGGGAGGGAAGGGGTTGAATAGGAAGGAGAGGGGGTCGAATGGGACAGGGAGGGGTTGAATAGAAGCGGGAGGGGTGTAGGCATATTTAATTCAGCAATATAGTCATCTTTTGCCCTTCCTACCCCATCAACTTTACCCTCCCTCTTCCCCGGCCCCCCCAACTTCACCCCTCCCCCACCCCAAGTCTGTCACACCTGCACACACTCCTCACCACCTGCTTAAAACCTCCCCCTCCCTCCACTTCCCTCACACACACGCACACAAAATACCTAATTCTTGTGTTTAACCTTTGGCGTCTGACGGGAACCAGAATAAAACGACAAGTGTTGGAAACGCAGCAAAAGAGTGACTCGAGACAGGGTTTAAACCAGATAAAACTAAACTTGATAACGAGAGAGACAAATAAAACATACACAAGGGTGATCGAGAAAAGACCTTACGCCTCATACCAAGAAACAAAACTCCCTCACATGCGGTACACACAGATAGTCAAGTCAGTAGGGGCGGCCATAACAACCAACACTCATTACAGGCGGCCATTTCACCGTTATTAATACAGAGTGTAGGGTGTAGGTTGTTGGATATAGGGTGTAGAGTGTATTATGTAGGGTGTCTTGTGTAGGGTATAAGGTGTCTTGTGTAGGCCTATGGGAATTCATCACTGCCTCGTAGGTCACCCCTTATACCTCTCAGTAGCTGGTGGTGGATGAGGGAGAGAGAAGTGTCCAGTTGATAAAGTCGGCAGGAGAGGGGGGGAGAGGGAGAGGGAGGGAGAGGGAGGGAGAGAGGGGGAGAGGGAGGGAGAGGGGAGAGGGAGGAGGGGAGAGGGAGGGGGGAGAGGAGGGGGAGGAAGAGAAATGAGTGAGGGTGGTAGAGGGAGGGAGGGAGCTTGCAGTCAGCACACCCATAATGTAAATATCCACTCCCGTCCACTTCACGACATACCTAACAGTGTCACCTGGTGCAAGCTAGTTGTACCTGTACCTGTAATTATACCTGTACCAGTACCTGTAATTATACCTGTAATTACACCGATGTTTCTGGCAAAAATATCCCAATCAGATTTTAATAGACAAAACTTATTACATATACTGGTTTTATGACACACACACACACACACACACACACACACACACACACACACACACACACACTGGTATAAGACTGAAGCACGTTCGTCCCTTGGCCAAGTTGAGTATGCTGGCGTCACCACACACCAACCTGCCTCCCAGTGCTGCTGTTTATCACTTTATACTGCTGTCAATAAATGCTGTTCCTGTTGTCAACCACGGAGGTAAACCACAGGGATCAACCACAGGAGTCAGGCACATCAGTGAACCGAAAAGATCAACCACAAGAGTCAATCACAAGATTCAACCACAGGGGTCAATCACAGGCGTCAAGCACATCAGTCAACCACTGAGATCAACCACAGGAGTCAAGCAAAGGAATCAACTACAAGTGTTAACCAGAGGAGACACTCACATGAGTCAGGCACATGAGTCAAGCACATCAGTCAACCACAGGAATCAACCACAGGAGTCAACCACAGTGGACTATTCCCAAACGTCCCCAGAGTTCAAGTTTACACCACGACCCGAGGCCTGAGGACGCATCTCAACCACTCACTCAAATTACAACACAATGATGTAATTTCAAAATGGCGCCCAGAATGCCTTGAGACTATACCATAACTAGATGCCATTTCTTCTTTCTTGTTAGTTAAGTTAAAAAAAATAAATACCGTAAGGCTTTTTGAGAATGTGGAATCTAATTTAAGACTTTTTTGATAACATAACCTAATCTAACCTAAACCCAACCTAACCTAACCCTAATCTAACCTAAACCCAACCTAACCTAACCCTAATCTAACCTAAACCCAACCTAACCTAACCCTAATCTAACCTAACCTAACCCTAATCTAACCTAAACCCAACCTAACCTAACCCTAATCTAACCTAAACCCAACCTAACCTAACCCTAATCTAACCTAAACCCAACCTAACCTAACCCTAATCTAACCTAAACCCAACCTAACCCTAATCTAACCTAAACCCAACCTAACCTAACCCTAATCTAACCCTAAAACCCAACCCAACCTAAACCCTAATCTAACCTAAACCCAACCTAACCCTAATCTTAACCTAAACCCAACCCAACCCTAATCTAACCTAAACCCAACCTAACCCAACCCTAATCTAACCTAAAACCTCCAACCTAACCTAACCCTAATCTAACCTAAACCCAACCTAACCTAACCCTAATCTAACCTAAAACCCAACCTAACCCAACCCTAATCTAACCAAACCCAACCTAACCTAACCTAATCTTAACCTAAACCCAACCTAACCTAACCCTAATCTAACCCAAGTAACCTAAACTTAACCCTAATCTAACCTAAACCCAACCCAACCAACCCTAATCTAACCAAACCCAACTCTAACCTAACCCTAATTCCAACCAAAACCCAACCTAACCCAATCCCAATCTAACCTAAACTCAACCTAACCAACTCAATCTAAACCCAACCTAACTCAACCCTAATCTAATCCCAAACCCAACCCAACCCAACCCAATCTAACCCAAACCCAACCTAACCTAACCCTCAATCTAACCCAAACCCAACCCAACCTAACCCCAACCATCCCAAACCCAACTCCAACCAACCCTAATCTAACCCCAAACCCAAACCTAACCCAACCCTAATTCAACCAAACCCAACCTAACCTAACTCTAATCTAACCTAAACCCAACCTAACCTAACCCTAATCTAACCTAAACCCAACCTAACCTAACCCTAATCTAACCTAAACCCAACCTAACCTAACCCTAATCTAACCTAAACCCAACCTAACCTAACCCTAATCTAACCCAATCCACTCTAGGTAGCGTTAGGGTGTCTAATCATCAGGTGAAATAAGCTGGGGTGCCTAATAGTCACCTGATCCAAAGGTAATAAACGTTTTCTTCACCTGAGAACAGTACACCTGACTCACCTAAAATAAGGCTCAGTAAACACAAAGAGAATCTATATTTAAAAGATGACGTTTGGTATATGAACAAACCTTTCTTCCTCTCTGTGTGTGTGTGTGTGTGTAGGTAGGTGTGTGTGTAGGTAGGTGTGTAAGTATATTATGTATGTATGTATGTATGTACTGTATGTAGGTAGGTGTGTATGCATGTGTGTAGATTATATATACATATGTATGTATGGTTAGATTAGGTCGACTCACCCCCTCTAGCGGCGTCCATCATTACTACCAGCTGACGTAATCAACAGGTACACCGTAATGAAGGCCACCTGAGGATTGACCCCCCCCTCCCCCGGGCATATTTCACCTGATGATTAAATAC